GGTCAAATCTAGGTCCATTATTGTTTTTAATATTTATTAATGACTTGTCTTTTGAACTGAAGTGTTTCCATTTGTTTTTCGCTGATGACCTCAAAATCTGCACGTCAGTCAAGACAGTCGAGGATTGCGTCATGTTGCAAGATGACTTAGCTCTAATTTCGTCATGGTGTTCACGAAACTGTCTCAGTCTGAATGTTTCGAAATGCAAAGTTATGACTTATACAAGAAAAGTGAACTATTTAATTTATGATAATTATAACATCAATGGTCAGGTTATAGACAGATGCACCTCTTATAGAGACCTTGGAGTTATATTTGATACCAAGCTAACGTTTACTGAGCACATACTCAATATCTCGTCGGCTGCCACTCGACTACTTGGTTTCTGTATCAGAAACTGGAAGGGTTTCTCCAATGTTGATACAGTAATAACTTTATTTTTTACTTTTGTAAGGAGCAAGTTGGAGTATGCAACTCTGATCTGGTCTCCTATATACCAAAATTCTGTCGTGATCCTTGAGGCCATTCAACGTAAAGCTTTAAAGTATTTTCACCTTAAATGCACAGGTTCTTATCCAGAAAGAGGTTGTGACCATAGTGCCCTATTAGAGTCTTTCAATTTGGATTCACTGTCAACAAGACGAAACATATTTGCTTTGTCGTTTTTGTATGGCCTCATTCACAACAAAATTGACTGTCAAAATTTACTTGAAAAAATATGTTTCCGCGTTCCAAGGCTAGGGAGTCGACAACAAATGGCATTCTATTGTCAAGCTGGCCGTACAAATGTTATGACAAAATCGCCAATTAATTTCATGTGCTGCGTCATGAACAGTGTTACTGAATCGTGTGATATTTACAGTGACAGTTGTGCAACGATTATTAACAGTTTTAGATCATCCAATCTTATTTAGAATGTGTGATACTATAGATTTAAGTCCAAGAACCATGTCTCTTTAATTGCTATTTTTTCAGCGTTTCCTGTAATTGGGTTTCACCTGTTGGAAATAAATAAATAAATAAATAAATAAATAAAGAATCAGTTACAAAACGTTTTTCCTAGAACGCTGTCACAACAGATTATTAGATACACAACAGATAACTCTCTGTCCTATGATGCCAGAGCTGCTTTCCAGTGACCCTCTTGAGTTACTCTGAGTAACTCAGTAGTGCTCATTAATACCGTTTCACTGCACGTTGTATTCTCATGCATTGTTTCTGGAACAGTTCGGGAGCGAATCACTCTCAAACCAAAAACCACTGGAAAGCAGCTCTGGTATCACCGTTAGCAGCGCCATCTGACGATTGCGCAGAACACTAACACATAACAAACTTAACTAAAACGACGATTGTTTACAGGATTCTAATCAGTGACACTCGCCCCCTCTGTTATCTTCGACTTGCATTATATTGATAGACAAATGCTAACTTAACGAATATGTAACCGTTATAGCAAATAGTCATTAAAACTACACTTTCCACGTTTTCATCCACTTTTATTCTGTAAAATAAAATACATAATAATGATCATGTACGTAAATACCTGGCATTTAAAAAGTGGTGTCAGGCCTATTGATACCTATATATTCTGTTACTATGTTCGCCTGCTCAAAAATGTTTAATCCAATTCAATTTTATAGTATGCAATATTTCCAATGCATCACAAAATAGATTAACACAAAATAATCGTTTGACAGTTACATTTGAAATATAAAATCAACATCCTCGACGTCATTATTAAACCAACCAAAACTAAGACAAACTATATCTACTTGCTTATTAAAACACGTTGCAGCTTTGAAAAAAAAATACAAAAATATTTATAAAGATGACAAGTTCATCTGTATACAAATTTAGGTTTGTTATAAAATATGTATTGTATATAAACGTATTAAGTATGTATATAAAATGTAGTCTCGTTTGATCCATACCATTCTTGGCAGACTACTTTATATGCTATGAGCAATAAAAATAATGTTTAATGGGTTGTGAGCAATGTTGGTGTAAGGACGATTGGATAAAAAATATTACCAATAGACTCGGAGCGGGGCTGGGGGGACGGGTCGAAATCCGTTCAGAAGTCTCGACAAACATGTCTTACCTCACGTCCGAAGGAGACGCAGACGAGGACCTAGCATGTAGGCCTATTTTCCTGTTAATATTTTCTGCTTATTTTGATGACATATTGCTGGAGCTTTAAAATTTATTGGTAAGCTTCCCGGTACATAGTTGTGTCTCGTTCCATTAGTTGAGTTCTTGGGGTTGCGCATTCCTTCAACAGGTCCGAATGCTCCCCTTTCAGGTCCCTGGAGACAGCTTCTAAAGTATAGATGTGCAGATTTTGGTATTTCCCTTATGTCAGTTGCATAACCTATACACCTATAGTGTGTCTCCAGCAGACTCCGATACCGTTTTCGTATCGGTTCTCTCGACGGACGCTGTCGCTCTGTTCTGTTAATTTCTTTTGCTAATTACCTGGGTGCTATTTCACATGTAAATCAAATTACTTCCCGCTGACAGTGCGTCTTTGACAATTCTCTTCATAAGTATTTGAAAAAAAGTTAAGCTGCGCCATAATTAGGATGATGAGTAGCATTAATGTTCGGCGCAATCATCAAATGTCACTCAAAGCAGGGTATACAGGGTTTGTCCGGAAAGTAATAGGACTGAGTCGATTTAAAAAAATTTATTGAGCCAATCGTTACCATTCTTTAAAAACTTTCAAAATAGGCTCCTTCTGCGTCGATGCAGCGCTGCCAGCGCGATTTCCAAGCATTGAAGGCGTCACGGAAGGCATTCTCCGGAATAGCCTTGAGAGCCGCGGTGCATGCTGCTTGGATCCCTTCTGTCGTATCAAAATGCTTGCCTTTCATCGGCCTGTTCAGGCGAGGATACATTAAAAGTCCGGGGGGGGGGGGGCACATCTGGGCTGTAGGGCGGCTGCGAAGCGTTAGGATGCCGGCCTTGGTCAAGTAGCTGTTCACAAGAAAGGCGGTGTGAGCCGGGGCGTTGTCGTGCTGCAACTTCCAGTCGGCTGCGATGTCTTGTCGGACCCGACTGACCCTTCGTTTGAGTTTCCTGAGCACTTCCACGTAAAACTTGGCGTTGACGGTTTGTCCAGGAGGAACAAATTCATGGTGGACGATGCCTTTGATGTCAAAAAAGACAATGAGCATCGTTTCCACTTTGGATTTGCTCATTCTTCCCTTTTTTGGGCGAGGAGACGCCGTCGTGTGCCACTCGGAAGATTACCTCTTTGTCTCGGGATCATACTCAAAGATCCACGACTCGTCAACTGTGATTACGTTATTCAAAAATTGGGGGTCACTTTCACACATGTTCAAATTTTCTTGGCACACTTCCACTCGCCGCAATTTCTGGTCGTCAGTGAGCACTTTTGGGACCATCTTCGCGCACACCTTGCGCATGTTCAAATGCTATGTCACAATGTCATGAACCACAGATTTCGGTAAATTTAACATCTGGGCAATTAAACGAATACTTAGCCGACGTCTGAGTTCAAAACTTTGCGCACACGAGTCACATTATCGGTGTTTGTCGAAGTCGAAGGTCTTCCAGCACGGTCTTCATCAGCGACCTCTTCCCGGCCCTCCAAAAAGGCCTGGTGCCACCGAAACACACCACTTCTTGCTAAAGCAACACCTGGGTAAGCCTGCTTGATCAAACGTCTCTGTCGCAGATTTACTGAGTTTCACAGAATTTAATCGCGTACCTCTGCTGTAACGAACGCTGCATTTTCGGCTTGCACCTCTCACAGAAACACGTCGCGCGAAAATGCCTGTCCTGACTCTCCAAGTGCTCGGAGACAACTGACCAGCCGCTCATTCGTTAGCTAGGAACGCCCTCTACCGAATCCAGTCGGTGCGCGCACGCTCCGAAGTAAAGTCATGGCGGAAGAAAAAGAGTCCTATTACTTTCCGGACAAACCCTGTCCTTAATGTATGGCGTACACCCACGTAACACCTAACTTTATAGAAGAAAGTTAAATGAGTGCCCTTGAAGGTATGTTTAATAGGCAACCAAATATTCTTATATAGTTAGTACGGCGTAAAGCCACAGAGTGGTGCTGGCGCTGGGTTTTCCCGTCGTTCTTTTTGAAAGTCCAATGTTCAGTGCTTTGACGTTGATGTACTCGTAACTTTGAAATGAAAGTTGAATTTTGTGTGGCGGCGTTTTTATTAGTTTGGTATCGGTGGTACTGATATCTGTTCAGCGTTAAACTGAATTTAAATTTACAAACTTAATCTTTGTTATGGAGGTTTATCGAAAGCTAGAATTTAAAAAAAGCGTGGTGCCTTGTACTGATACAATCAGTAAAAGGCACATATTTCCGTGTTATGATGCCGAGCTTTTTAACAAATGGATCGAGTAAGTGCAAAATCCAGTTTTGGACAACAAAAGTCACGAACAAATTTATATATGCCATTTGGTGTGTGATTTACATTCTTCGGAAAATGATAAAGTGTCTGGAGCCAAGAGAGGTCTAAGAAGAACAGCTTTTCCTATATTACATCTTCCTGAACTTCAGTATTCAAGTAAGTAATAACTTTGTGTGTATATATGTCGACGTCGAACGCAGAAATTCGTCATTCCCTGAAATGCCTAGTCAGTCTCCGTATTGCCGACAAACACCGTAACAGTTTGATTATTACAACGTTTGACTAAGCATTTCAGTGATTCCTTGTAATGACTGAACAATGTCAGTTAAACACCGTAACAACCACATTAGCGTCGTTACTGCATTTGACTATTTTAGTCAAACTGTCTTTATTATTACATTATTGTAGGCATTAATCATTAGTGTAATAAATCAACAAGAAATATCCTGAAGCTATCGAAAGAAATATAAAACAATACACATTAAAAAAAACAAAATGCAGAACTGCGAGTTGTGACAAACAAATAAAGGTTACATAGAATTATCTTATATTTTTTGTATTATTTCAAACATTATTTTTTTATTTCATTTTTATTTCTAGAGTTATACATATTCACAATACCGCAGCAATACTGATGGCGAAACGCGCGTCGAGGACGTGTATTGTTGATCTAAATAACTCCAGCGTGGACGAACAGAACCATTTTTCCCCCGAAGGGTAAAAAAACGGATATTTTGGGTCTAGCCGAGGCTTGACCCTCGGAGATTGCATCTTACCTTTTTTCCTCGCTACCTCACGTATAGAGTCCCCTTTTTAGCCCATATCCCCAGCCGCACGCCCATATGCGCTCCGGGGTGCGTCTGGCGTGCGCGCGACCTGAGTCGGTGGGCGGCTGTTAGCAGCGCGCTCATCAGTGCTGATGTGCCGATCCGAGGCGGCAAGTCATCAACTCGGATCAAGCCTCGACTAGTCCCAAAATATCCGTTTTTTTACCCTTCGGGGGAAAAACGGTTCTATTTTAGGTCTGAGCCTTCGGCTTGACCCTCGGAGAAGTGTTTGGGTTCTGCCGACTCACGTCGCGCACTGTGACAGGCTAAATGGAAAATAAACGCAAAAGCATTTAACAAAACAATGAATAAAAACTTTATTGTGGTTCATAACGTACTATAATATAAATATAAGTAGGAACTTAAATGAGATCTTCTCTTCTTGATTCAGTAAAAATAAAAGTAATACTGAGTACAGGTACTCAAAATAATTGTAAAGAACAGTAAGTTCACTAGTCTCCACTACACCAGCTGAAAGGCTCACTGATGTAGTTATATGTCTCACTGTTCGAATGGTTTTGTATTCCCTTGAAATAGTGCTTGAGAAATGTGTCCTGGCGTCGCTAGTTCCCCCTCACCATCAGTTCGCCAAGGATGAGTTAGATATCCATAAGATACTGCTGAGAGAGGCTGGAGAGGCTTCAAGGCCCGCCGCCGTAAATGCCGTTCGGATCCAACCTGCGATGACTGCCCTAGATCCTCCTTTCACTTTGCCTCTGTAGTGATGAAAAGTGAGGTTAAGTCATTGGTGGTGTTTCTTCTGGATATAGAAACAGATATCAGCTTGAGAATCCAATAAACCGGGTCCAAATTACTGCCTGGACGGCTACTAATCTGCCAACGTGATTGTCGAAACGTCCCCGAATCCGTTTTAGAACCAAACGCCGGCCAAAAGATGACAAAGTTATTTCTTGTTTGGAAAAAACCCCTCCGAGATGTGTAGCAGCGTTAGGTCATGCACCCTCCTACTTGAGGCTAGTAGCAGCATTAAAGCTACGTAGCGAGACACCTGGAAGATACTATCCTCTGCAGGTGGGTTGGGAACCAGCCACTGTATGATAGTGGAAACACTCCATATGGATTTCCTTGGAGGCTGCTGTTTCAACTTAATGGCTTTCATCGTTCTTTGTACTAGGGCATTTGAGGCTAAGAGCTTAGATTTTTCCGGATTTGCAAAGGTACATACTACCGACTTGTGTAATGCTATCGTATTCGGGGAAAACCTACAACTTCTAAACAAGTAGCATAGGAATTTAGCCAGATCCGTTGCCCTTGGATTATCTGCACTACTCATACTTTGTTTTGTCCAAGACTTCCATCTACTCCATGCACTTCTATAGGACTTCAATGTGGAGCTCCTCCATGAAGATACTAGAAGTCCTCTCTTGTCCAACCATCGATTTGCTGTGACCACCCTGACCCTTCCATGCCTATAATTTCAAGTCGTCGCACCTGGGAGGTGGGTTTCCCGTTACCAGGTCCCGGAGATTCATCGACAAGTTGGGAATCACTATTGGCCCTTCTACTGCCCTTCTCTGAAGATCTGGATATCAAAACACCTTTTCCCAGCTTGGCGCTATCAGGATGTAGAGCCCCGATGCTGAGTTCAGATGGGACAGGACTCTCGGGATAAGAGCCGGTGGTGGAAATATACAGGCCAACTAGTATGTCCATTGTCTGCTGAATGCATTTATGCAGTGAGCATTGTAATCTGTTGCGTCTAGGCTGACGTACTTCGGCATCACTGCCGACAAGTTTGTTACAAAGAGGTCCACTTCCGGTGTCCCCCATTTGTGAAAAAATTGTTGTGTGATTACATTCGACAGAGACCAGTCTGGAAGAGGGCGGCCCCTGGAAAGGTGATCGGCCGTCCCATTCTATTTTCCAGGAACATACTGCGGTTGCAGCGTGATGTTGAATTTGGAACAAGTTTCGAGTAATTCTTTTGTCAGCTGCAGCAGCTTGATCGACTTCGTCCCCCCTTCCTTTCTGACATAAGCTATTACCGTGCGGTTGTCCGTCTGCAGCAGTACAATCTGGTTCCCTAGTACCATTGCATTTCTCTTGATTGCATCGAGAACTGTCCAAAGTTCTTTGCAGTTGCAGTGCCAGTATCGTTGGCTCTCGGTACACGTTCCTGAGGTCGTGTACTCGTTCAGGGTTGCTCCCCAACCCCAGTCGGACGCGTCTCTTGTCAGGTAGCTTATCTTCTTCGTAATCCACACTGGTGAAGACCCCTCTACATGCATCAACCACCACTGGAGGTCTTTCAGAACTGGTTTGGGGATTGGCGACCTTGTCTTTGAGAATTGGGGGAGTCTTTTGGATGTTTTCTGTGCTCTGCGGCAGTGTAGGCGACCTAAGGGGACTGCAAATGCCGCGAAATTCAGCCGTCCCAATAGCCCTTTCGCCTCGCGCCGGTTCCATGACCCTCTCTGAATAAACCTCTGGATCTGTTTGCGGATGCGGTCCACTTTGACTTGTGAGAGCCGTTTCTGGGCTTTGTGGCAATCCCGCATAATGCCCAAGTACTCTATCGTCGTCATTGGGCTCTCGGTGGTCTTTGTTTTGTTTATCATGAAGCCTAATAATTAGACAAAATTATTTTGTGAGCAGCTCCACCGCTAGCTGTGCATGTTGTTTGATTTGCTGTCGATTTTGACTCGCTATGAGAAAATCGTCCAGGTAAACCACCAGTCTGATGCCGTTTGACCTCAAGAGTTGTGCTATCCAGTTGGTAATCCTGGCGAAAACCAATCGTGCGGTCGAGATTGCGAATGGTAGGCATGTCATGTGATAGATTTTTCCTCTGTATGAGACGGACAAAAACCTGCGATGTGAATTGGCATTTTGCAAGTCGATCTTCATCAAATAATCGTTTTGTTGAAGAAAACTGGGAATCCTCTGAAGGTTGACAAGCCGAAACGGCTTTGGACTCAAAAACATGTTTAGGCGTTTTAAGTTTACGACAGACTTCATCTTCCCGTCTTCTTTGGGTACCAAGAAAATGGGAGATTTGAAGCCGGTTTGATAAGTTGATGTCTCGATAGATCGACTTGCTAATAGTTTTGTTATTTCTTTGTCCATATCCTGGGACTGTTGTGTTTGCAGCGCCACCGGTATACGGGCGTTCAACCTGGTCAATGGCGGTTGTGAAGGAATTTTGTACCCCTTTATGGTGTTTAAAATAAATTTTGGAGCTTGTAGTAGTTGCCACTCTTTGACAAACGTCCTCAGCTTGCCAGTCTGAAAACTGTCAAAAATGCTTCCGGGCTTTCTTTTCCATGGACGGTTCAGACTGTCCTACGATGTTGCTTTGCCTTTTCCTTCCCTGCTTTGAGACTGCTTGACTACTGGAGCCCATACTACGTGACCCCATTCGATTTGCTGGTTTTTGCCTATGCGAGGCCTCCTGTTTTTCGGCTTTGGTTATGGAACGATAGGGTACTCTCTTTGGAAAAAATTTATAATATCCTCCATGACTTTTGATTGTTTCCATTAATTTTCCTTCATCGAATAAGTGGGCTGTGGAGGGGGGGATCTGCTTTAGCAAGTTAGTCATGTAAGTTGAAGCTGACCTAACTAGGTCCCTCCTACGACTAATAACATCTGCCCTCCTGCCTCATGTCAGTTCCAGCAAGCCATCTGTCACAGATCTAAATTCCGTATCACTACCACTGATATTTTCAAAGATTGCCTTTTTTAGGGTCGGAGAATCTACCTCCTTCAGAATATTTTCTATACCCCTAGCAAGAATTTGAAGTTGCTTTAGAAGTCCATGGGAAATATCTGCCAATGTTTGATCAAATTGCGCCACGACCTCACTAGAGCACCATTTTTACTCCTTATTTTTAATTTGTTCATTCATTTTGAGTGCCATAAAAATGGGTGTGGCTTGCAACCGCTTCTGAGTATCAGCACATCGGATTTTGTTCCATCCCTATAGCACTAAGCGTTGACACATATCAGCCTGAGGGACTATCGGCTCCAATTCGCTAATATCCGGAAGGAAGTCCACCAAGGGCCGATCCCGTTCCTCGTCTCCCATCAATCCGGGTAATGATCCTACGTCTTCTTTCTCAGACCTATTACCAAAGCTGTCCGCTCTGTCGCCATCCTCTGTTTCCGAGTAACACTCCGGGTTGGACTGACCCTGAAGTAACTGTTGTAGGAAATGTTCAATTTTTGGGTCTTCGCTGTGAGATCTGAGATTGCATTCTCTGTCTCTTCAAGCGTTTCGATTTGGTTAATCGATCAGTCTCCGTTGACGACGCCCTCCTCTTTCTCGCCAGATTCTCTTTGTTATGTCCTCTCAGCAAGCTGTTCGCTTCCTCCCTAGAGACTATGCCCCGTTTTACTTCATCTGTGGCTCTGCTGAATAGTTCATACTATGCCGACGCCCTTATCTTTATGCCGATGGTAACTGGATACAATACGAGTGCTTTTGTAAAGGGCCACTCTAGTAGAGACAACTTCATGTCTTTAAAACTTTTCTCAGATACGCTCAGTGCGTCTTCATCAAAAACTGTGATCAATTCGACCGTTGGCAGGGCTGCATAGATTCCGACGGCCACGTGGACCCGACGGCTCTGGGAGCTCTAGCCGACGGCCGCAGGGTCTCAGCCCGACAGCCGTAGGTAATCAGGTTGCTACTTGTGAGACAGCCCTGGGAAGTCTCCCGAAGGTTCGGCACTTTGGGCTAATCGGCTGCGAGTGGGATGCTCGGCAGCTTGTGCTTTAGACAGGGCTAATTATATATTCCTTTAATCTGGTATTTATATACAAAATCCGGCAACAGTGGATGCTGCTGTTGAGCAAGGCTATGTACGTTATAATTTAGGTTAGGTTCATCAAATTATAAAAATTAATTTACCTCCTTAAACTCATTTGTATTCCATGGATTGTTCTTATTCACTCTGTCATAGTATTCACTTAAATTTTTGTAAGACCATTCTGAATGCTGCGACATCTTTACAAACACAGGAAAGACGATATGTATACTCAAGCAAATGAACACAAAACTGGTACAATGAATGACTGAATCAGGCAAATACAGTAACGAAGTTAATGTGGTTGTTACGGTGTTTGACTGAAATTGTTCAGTCATTACAGGGAATGACTGGAATGCTTAGTCAAGCGTTGTAATAATAAAACTGTTGCCGGCAATACGGGGACTGACTAGGCATTTCTGGGAATCACGGATTTCAGCGCTTGACGCCGACATATATAAACTGGATTTCATATTTCGAACATTTTGGTGTCCTTAAAACTTTCACAGTTTCATTTTCACAATTTTTGGAAAAATTTACCTACATACATAATGAAATTCAATTCTTTTTTTAGGTATGGTTTCGGAAAATGTTCAGAGTAGTACATCGGTAATACCGATCATTTTTAGATTACTTACAACTTGCATAATTATTTTTATGTATTGTATTAAAACATACACATTTTAAAAATAAAATCAGGTTGAGCCTTATTTTACCTAAAATATCTTGTGTATTTAATTCAAGTTTAGCTTCACAGTGTCAGAAGGAAGTCCAAAGATGGCGCTAGATATTCTATATTTTTAAAGTTCGTATAGGTTCTATAAGAGGTTCGGAGTATATCCCAGGGATAGCGCTACAAACTTAGTGACAAATCTCTGTCACTGACAGTTACTATCCAGCTTGTTCGAATATTGGGCTCTAGCAGTAATACTACAGTAACCTACGCACCCAACCCACTCAAGGATTGCAAAATATGCTAAAATTCTTGAAACTTCTGAATTGTTATAATTACTCAACAAATTTCAATCACACTGAATCATAAGGTCAAAATGTACCCTCTCTAACGGATTTCTCGTATACCATTCCAAACGTTTGAATGAATGAATGAATAAATGAAATTGGAGGCATACCAGACACCACGGAGAATCGGCTTGTAGGCCACATGGCGGGTCCTTATCCACCACTACATTTCCTAAGCCTCAAGCTCCGCCCTTCTAGCGAAGTTGAGTATAGGTTTGACTACCAGCGCCTCAACATTCTGGG